AAGCAATTTACTTCTGCATCACCTGATGGTCATAACTGGGAAGTTTATCCATGTGTCTAACTTCAATGTTGCATGCTCCAATTGAAATTATTTCCTTCTTTGGAGCATTAGGAAAAAATGGAAAACAGCTAGCCTACATTCTCCTACACAAGAACATCTGAAGAGTCAAGACTTAGTCTGGGCTGGGCCAGAATCTCTATTCCCTCCCTCCGTTCCATTTGTCTCCTCCTCCCAGCTCTGCCCAGGCTGTTTCCAGTCTTTTCTGCTCCAGCACCTGGACACCCCCTGACATAACCAACCTGCTGAGGTTTTCCATCCCAGAGGCTCACAGAACCAGAGATCAGAGAGGAAGCCCCACTTCCTGCCTCCCTTAGAGCCACGCCCAACCCTTAGTTCCTGCTGTTCCCCGTGCCCACGCCCCTCCCCTCATCCTGTTTCCTATCCCCTTGCAGTTGGGGCTGAGAAGTCCTTGGAGATAACTGATACAGTGGACCCTTTTTCAAACAGCCACTCCATGGAGGTGGCAAGACTGTACAAGTGATGAGAGAACTCTGCGCTCACCATCCTCTCCACACCTCCTACCGACACTCCGAGGGCTAATCGCTTCCTCAGTCAGTGTGCCCAGAGCTCTGTGTTTAGAACTTGTTCACATTTTCCATTTGATTTATACTATATGCCTGTATCTCATGAGCAACATGAGGGCAAAGAATCATCTAATTCACCTCTGTCACTCCCTACAGTGCCTAGCATGGGGACGGCACACGGCTGACATCAATAAACGTTTGTTGCCATGAGAAAGGAAAATGAAAGACCACACAGTGGTCAAACTCAAGACCCAGTCTTCCTTTAAGCCATCTTATTCAGTAAGGGAAAAACTAAAAGAATAGGAAGAGTCTCTTTCCTCCCCAACACACTCCATCCCTCAGTCTCAGAAGCACCAAGCACAGCCTTGGTCTCTTATCAAGTGTGTGAGAGTGTGTGTACATGCATGTGCATCAGGGTGGGACTGTTAAGCCTCCATCACTCCTCTGAACCAGAACTTGAGTCACCACCTCTGGGCAAAAGCAACACACTCCGGGGACACTCATGTTACTGGATGGGCACCTTGGGGTAGATCTCCGAAACCCAGCTCATGTGTCACTTGCACGTTCATGCTGAATACCTACTCTGGGCCAGGTGTGGGGCTACATACTGGGGAAAGGAGGATAAAGAGAACCCTCCTTGCCTTCAAGGCCCTCAGTGCAATCCTGCCTTGACCTTGGCTGCATATCCTAGCTCGAAGAGATCCTGTTAAAAACAGATACCAGGCTGCACTTCCGACCTCCCAAATCAAAATCTCTTCAAGTGGAGTTGGGCCACTTGCCTTTTTTTAAACCTCCACAGGTGAATTCTGATTCACAGGCAGGGTTGTAAGTCACTGATCTCTAGCTCAGCGCTGTCCAACAGAACCTTCTGCCGTGATGGAAATGCTCCGAATCTGCACCATCCAATCAGTAGCCACTAGCCACGTGTGGCTATTGAGCACTTGAAATATGGCTAGTGGCTGAGGAATTGAATTTATTCTACTGAATTTTAAGTAATTTAAATTTGACATATGGCTAATGGCTACTATATTGAACTGCAAAACTCTAGATGATCCCAAATCATTTCAATTTGGCTTTAGAATAGAATACCTCTCACAATATTGTTTGGTAGCAACTGAAGTCTCCATTCCCTTTGGCTCAGGAGAAAACAGTGAGCCTCTTCTCCCTAAGGACGCTCTCATTTGCAACGAAGAAACTGCTCTATCGTGGGTGGGGGTAGGGGCCAGTTTGGTGAGATTGCATTCTGCCAGCCAGCTAAGCCACCACACCAGCCTCCAGAGGCCCCCCCCGGACCGGAGAAAAGGCACTCCTGAGGACCCTATTTTGTGAGAGGCTGACATTGGTGAGGGACAGAAAATGTGGTGACATGACTTTGGGTGCCTGTTATAGGCTGAATTGTATCCCCCCAAATTCATATGTTGAAGCCTTGACCCGCAATGTGACTGTATTTGGAGACAGGGCCTTTAAAGAGGTAACTAAGTTTAAATGAGGTCATAAAGCTGGGACCCTAATCCAATACGACCAGGGTCCTTATAAGAAGAGAGAGACCAGGGAGGCGTGCACACAGAGGCGACCACGGGGGAACAGCGAGAAGGCAGCCGTCTGCAAGCCCAGAAGAAGCCTCAGAAGAAAGGAAACCTGCTGACATCTGCTTCTTGGACTTACAGCCTCCAGAACTGAGAAAATAAATTTCTGTTGTTTAAGCCACCCAGTCGGTGGTATTTTTGTTATGGCAGCCCTAGCACACTAATACAGTGCTCTTGGGAAAAGGGAGGCCCAGGACCCTAATCAGCCTCTCCCTGACAAGGTGCACCCCGAGAACTGAGGGCAACAGCCCCACTAGAAGCCAGACCCAGCGGTGACTCTGTCACACCTAAGCCTCCAAGTCATCACCCTGGTCACTGCCGTTCAAGCGCCTTTATCCACTGCCCAGCCCCACCCCTGCCATGTCACGACTCACCCAGTCCTAGTTCACCCAGACTCGGCTATACCCCTAGGACATCTTCCCTACACACTAATCCCCTCCCTTCCCACTCCTGACCCCACTGCATCTACGCTGCCTCCTATACCGCTTGCCCCTTTATCCCCATCTGTGGGTTTCCACCTATTGTTGGGTGTTTTAAACGTGTGTTCTGCGCATCTCACCTCCCCCACTGGACTTTAAATTCTCAAAGATTAGTCCAGCATTCAAGACCCTTCACAAGCTGGCCCCAAGTCACCTCTCCAGCTTTTTCTCCCAACTGGGCCAAGTCAACTTGAAGCTACTTGCCCCCCTTTGAACATAACAATCTCGTCTCTAAGCTCTCCAAAACTTTCCCAGTCCCAAAGGCCACCTGAAATGCCACCTCCTCCAGAGAGCTTTCCCTGACTACTTCAGCTAAATACACAAGGGAACAATGGCTTCTGTCTCTGTGCAGTTATTCCAGAGGGCCTAATCCCAGGCTCTGCAACACGGGGCACTGACTACCTAGCTCCACAGCACTGACAGCAAAAAGAGAGGAAAGGGGTCTGAGGCACTCGGGGGTGTGAAACTGTCACAAAATTCTGATGATAACTACGTGGCGTTAGCCCATACTCCCCAGGGTTTAAGGGCACAGTCCCCAACAAGACTGCCGTCATTTCAGATGCCAGCGGCAAGTTCGTGGTCACCGGCACTTCTGACCATTCTGAGAAATTTGGGGGTTCCCACGATCCCCAGTTCAATAATTTGCTAGGATGACTCACAGCACTCAGGAAAGCACTCAACTTCCAATTAGTTTTATTATAAAGGATACAAATCAGGAGCAGCCACATGAAGAGACACACAGGGTGAGGTCTGGGAGGACCCCAAACACAGCTTCCGCATCCTTTCCCCGTGCAATCAGGACGCCACCCTGCTGACACATCCATGCATTCACCAACCAGGAAGCTCACCAAAGCCTCGGTGTCCAGAGTTTTTATTAGGGTTTCATTGCACAGGCATAATTGACTGAAATCACTGACCACATGGTGGAACTCAATCTCCAGCCCCCTCCCTTCCCTGGAGGTCAGGCTGATATCAACAGGCTCAAAGTCCCAACCTTCTAATCACACAGTTGGTGTTTCTGGCACAGTCAGCCCTCATCCTGAGTCAAATATCAGCATAAATCCAGGTGTGGTCTGAGGGACCCACCATGAATAACAAAAATACTTCTATCACTTGGGAAATTCCAAGGATTTACTCCCTCCCAGGAACCAAGGACAAAGGCCTGTCAAATTCTTTATTATACAACATGGGGGGGGGGGTACTTGTACTAAAAATCTTATTAATTTTGAAAGCTGGAGATCACCTGTCCCAAGAGATAGAGCCCCACCGTGTGTTCCTCATTAAGGTGGTCTCAGGACCTGCTCTGCTCCCAACTTGATTCACTCTCCCAGCCCTTACCAAAGGGTCCCACCAACCTATCACGAAGCAGACAGAACAAACGAGTTAGCCAGAGATCCCAGGCTCCCATCCACCCTCCTCTGCTCCCCACAGTGCCCCGAGCAGCAGACAAACTGCTCGACAGGCTTCTAACAGAGACCCTGCAGCTTCAGTAAGGCGGTTGATCTGTTTACATCATCCACCAGCTACCCAAGAGAATCCTTTGCAAACAGTGAAGAGGTCGGGGGGGGGGGGGGATCTAAACTACCACCTTCCATCCCTGACATGCAGGAGGGAAAAAAGGACAAGGAAAACAGTATAGGAGCTTTTAATGCTTAGACTAAAAAATCACAGGCTGGGTTTTTCATAAAGCCATTGGTCCACTGCTGGCAGGGCAGGAATCCACTCCTCACCCAGGCCACAGGTGGAGGCCCAGACCCCCCAGCAGGGTCTTCAGAGCGGAGGGGCTTCCTTTGTAGTGCAGTGACTCCCCAGACGGGGGCAAGAAGAGGGGTAACGAGCACCCGTGTGCCAGGCGCTACACAAGGCACTCTCAAATGTCATCTCAGTTAATCCTCACACCAACCGCAGGAGAGAGGGAGCCCCATTTTACAGATGAGGATCCTGAGGCTTGGAGAAGTTAATCAACTTGTCCAAAGTCATAGAGTTCACAAGTCTCAGAGCTGGGATGAAAATCCAGGTCTTCGGGCCTTTCTCACTCTGCCACACTGAATTCTTTCTCCCTCTGATCCAGCCTCAGTCTCTCATAGGAAGTTACTCTCAACATCCTTGCCCCACGCTTTGTCCTGCTCCCTGTGAGGAAAGGGGTCGGCTGAAGAAAGCTGTTCTATGAGGACGGGTGGGGATCCTGGCAGGATCTTTTCTCTTAAACAGCAAATATGACCTCAGAAGTCACCGTGTAGGTCACTCTCAGCTGAATAGAGACTCCCAGGGAAACAGAGAGGTAGAGCAGTTGGCAGGTGCTGATTCTCTGTGGAGTTAGGCACCACGAGACCCAAGAGCCAACGCTCAAAAGAGGGTGAAGACAGCAGGAATCAAGGGCAGGCAGGATTAGTGTCAGGACCACCCGGGCAGGTGCGAAGACAGTTCCAATGATCAAAGAACGTGATCCCAGTCAGCAGGGAGCTGAGGAGGACCTTGCTGCTCGTCCAGGAGGTGTGTAGATCTGCGTGCCCAAGAATGACTTGGGGCCTTGACTGTGTCCTCTGTGCCCCACGGGCACTCATTTTGTTAGCAGTGGCAGCAGCCCCAACTCGTTCAGTCTCTCCTTGGCCACTGCCTCCCAGCCCCTGTTGGCCTGTGGGCTGCGAGGCGAGGGGTGCAGGAGCCCCTCAACCTGGACCTCGGGCATCAGGCCTGCCAGAGCCCGCCGCGCACGCTGCTCGGCCACCCGCCCCACTCCCACCACCAGCCGCACCCCCAGCAGCTGCACCTGCCGGCAGAGGGCCGCATCACAGACCCCAAGAAGCTGTTCTCGATGCTTGGCAGGCAGCTCAGCAGGGGTGAGGTTGCGCCCACTGGGAGCCAGGAGGAGCAGAGGACACAGATTGTGGACAAAGCAGTGACGGAAGAAGACCTCAGGCTGTCCACAGAGGTTCCGGAAAAAGCCCCAGAATCGGGCACCGCTCACCTCTGACTGTGGGCACTCCAGCCCCAGCACTGGTCGCTTAGGGTGCTCTTGGGGAGGGGTCAGCACAGTCCCCCCAATGCCCAACCAGTCCCGGACTATATTCACTTCCCCAAAGGGCACCTGTGGGGAAGGAGAGAGACATGAGGGCTTCAAACTGGAGACCTGATGCCTGCGCTCTGGACCCCTTTCCATCCTCCATGAGGATCTAGCCTGGAGACACACACACACAAACACAGACACACACCCCCTACCACCTTCACCCAAAGGCCTGAGACAAGGATTCCTGGCCCCGTGGTTTGATCCTGTCCATCTCTCTCCAATTGTTCATTGTGGACTGCAGACCAGAAGAATCTATTTGCCTCTACCCCCACTTGGGACCACGTTCAGGGAGTACATGGGGCTATGTGGCCCTACACAGGGCATGATGGGTAGTACTGGGCACACACAGATGGTGAGACAGAAAGGGGGCCAGGGTTAGAGGAGGCACAAGGACAGGGCCGACCACTGCTCTCTGGGTGCCCTCTCAGCCCCAAGCCTCAGGCTGTCATCTCCATCCATCATCATTGATCACCTTTCATCCCCCAGTGGGGTCAATAAAAGCGATTGAGCCTCCTGCCCTACAGGCTCTTCCCCTCCCCCACCTGCCAAGCCCCTCCACTGAGGGGCAGTCACTCATCCTGAGGTCTGAAAGGAAAGCAGGCAGGCCCTGGAGCCTGGCTCTGCTCTGAATGTCTCCTCAGCTAAGAAACAGAACCCAGGTTGCCTGAACACCCTCCATCTCTTCCAGACCCACCCCTGTCAACCAGTCTCCCCTGAGGACACGGTAGCCCTGGTCCCTCTCCTGACCCCAACCACACTCTAGGGAGAGGGGAGAGCCGGCAAGGTAAAAACGAGGCTAGCGGAAGAAAGGGCTCTCAGAGGCAATTAGTGGACAGCTCACGGGGGAAACGGAACTACTGTTAATGTGCTTGGTTAACTGTGGGCAGCGAGGCCGGGAGAGTGTCTGAGATCATAGGAGCCAATGTGTGCGTTGGGAGGGGAGGAGGGGCTGCACTCACCAGGTCCACAGCCATGCACATGCTCCTCCTCCACAGCACACGCAGCCAAGCATCTGCCTTGGAGCCTCCCACTCCACCCACCAGGGGACGCCAAGCCCTTTACCCCAGTCTGGGCCATGCCAAAGGGTCCTGGGTTCATTCCCAGGAAGAGCACTTCCTTGGGGCCCTGGCAGTAGCGGGTCACGTAGCTGCAATGTGGCTCCCACGCATACTCCACGGGATTGTAGATGATGCCCACAGGCTCCGAAAACTGCAGTTGGCTCAGCTCACCATTGAGCCGAAGCTCCTCCTCCAGGAAGCCTTCAGCCAAGCTTCGAGGGCAGGACTGGGGCTCCATCAGGGCACCTGCAGGCTTATGGAGGGGCCACAGCAGGAAAGCCTGGGGCACAGCCACGTCACTGTCACCTGGAAAAGAGATGGACAGTGGCCCCATCAGCCCTCAGTCCTAGAGTGGGAGGGATCCCGGCTGGCCAGGGCCCCTACTACCATTTCCTGGGCTCAGAAGAGACTGTGTCAGTCATCCCCCAACCTCCACGCAGGACTGAGCTCATCTCGGTGCTTGGTAATGAAGAGCCCTTCCTTTCCCTGCTTCAAGCATCCTTCCTCTTCATATACCACCTGCTGAGAATAACCCAACAATCACCAATCATCCCCCACTTTCCGCCAGGCATAGGTCTTGAGTCACTAGTTCCTAGGCCATGCCAAGCACATGGTAGGTTCTCAATATATATTTACCGGTGGCAAACTTTCAGCACCTTTACCGTCACCCTTAATAAAACAAGCCCAGCCAGGATGGGCCGTGTCCTGGAAGCCAATGCACTGAAGAATGAGATGCAGGTGCACAGCCACAGCCCAGACACTAATTAGAGGACTAATTACAATAGCTTCCAGGTGGTGAGCAACTGCTCTGTGCAACCTCATTGATGCTTGTAACCCTATGAGGTGGGGATTATTGCTCCCATGTCACAGGTGAGAAGACTGAGGCTTAGCAAGATCGAGCAACTTGCCCAGGGTCACGCAATTAGCACGTAATGAAGCTGGGATCTGAACCCAAACTATCTGACTCAAGGCTATGCTCTTACCCACCCACCCCATCTTGCCTTAGACGTTTCGATCAGCCCCCTGCTACTTCTACCACCCCAGCCCAGCTTCTTGCCCACATTCAAAAATACTCAGTGGTGAGTGGGATGATTACCAGACTCAGAATAGACTCTTAAAAGCTGTGTAACCATGGTCAGAGCCTCAGGTTTCCTCATCCAAATACAGATCTTCCTCAACTTATGACAGGGTTCCGTCCTGATAAATCCCTCGTAAGTTGAAAATATCGTAAATCAAAAATGCATTTAATACACCTACCTACCAAACATCATAGCTTAACCTAGCTTACCTTAAACGTGCTCAGAACACTTAACGTTAGCCTACAGTTGGGCAAAATCATCTAACACAAAGTCTATTTTATAATAGTGTTGACTATCTCATGTAATTTATTGAATATTGTACTGAAAATGAAAAACAGAATGGTTGTAAGTGTATCGGTTGTTTACCCTTGTGATCATGGGGCAGACCGAGAGCTGGGGCTCACTGCCGCGGCCCAGAATCACAAGAGTATCCTACCTCGTATCGCTAGCCCAGGAAAAGATCAAAATCTGAAGGACGGGTTCTACTGAACGCCTATCACTTATGCACCATCCATCGTAAAGTCGAAAAAGCGTTAAGTTGAACCATCATTAAGTTGGGGATCACCTGTACTAAAAACAATAATATCCACTTCATGATATTGATATAAGGGATGGAAAGAGATGTTATGTGTAAGCGAGGCCGGGAGGGAGGAGGAATGAAAATGAAAGAGGAAAAGGAAGGGGGGAAGGGAGAGAAAGAGGGAAGAAGGGGGGAGAGGCGGGGAGGCAGAGGGAGCACTCCAGTGACCTCTGTAACCGGCAAAGGCCATTCCTTCGTCTCCCTTCTCACCACTCCCATGCAAACCCAGTGTTCCAGCCCAGTCGTTCCACTCACACTTTCAAAATGCCTTTCCTACCCCAACACCCAAAACTTTGCACATGCCATTTCTACAAACCCAACCAAATCCACTCCTTGAGTCAACCAGGACTGTGACTCCGACCGCTCCACACATCCAAATCATACCCCTCCCTCAAGACGCAGCTCTAACCATCCCCTTGGTAAAGCCTTCCTCCTCAGGACACTGCACATGCGCCACAGCTCCTCAACCCCACCCCACACATGAGGAGGTCTAGTGTGAGGCCTGGGAATCTGCATTTTAAACAAGCTTCCCCAGGTGATCTTGATGGTTGGTGAAGGCTGAGAACTATTATGTCACCATCGTTAGCAGCTTCTTCATGAATTCACAGCTCGCCTCCCCAACCAGACTTGAGCAGATGGGAGGCCAGGCTCCGTTCAACTTCCCTCCCTATCTCCAAGGTCCTAGCACTTGTTAGGTAGTCAACAAACACTGGCTCAGTTCTGTCCATCCCTTCTTTTTCAATCCTGTTTAAAACTACCTTCTGCCAAGGAGTCTTTCCTGATGGACTCCTCCCCACTTCCATATCCTGAGTTCACTCAAGACTCAGCTGCCCACTCTGCGCTCTGCTTGCTTCCGAGGGCTTGTCAGGCTCTGTGCATGTTTCCGTCAGGTCTGGGGCTCCCACAGGGCAGGGACCATGATTCTTCCTCCCTCTCAACCCCTTGCCCAGGTCAAGGGTAACCTCTTCCCCCTGGTGGGAACTCAGGGCTGACACAACAGCTTGATCCATCAACCTGTTCTCTGATCCTTGCCTGGGGGAAGTGAGAGAGAAAAAATCAGAGACCAAACTTAAAAACTCCTTCCCCAGACTGATCTCTGAAGTCTTTGATCTGTCCAGGTGGCTACCCAGGGCCCAGTGGACTCAAACACAGCTGAGAAGGCAGCTGTGGAAAACTCAGAGGTCTCAGCGGCCCTTGCTTTGCATCTCCCCAGGTAGTGCAAACAACAGTGGATTGGCTGCTCTAGCTCTGGGATCTCGCTCAGGTCTTAAGTCGGGCCTACATTTGATCTTTAGAGACCTATGCTGGAGACAGCAAGGCTGGGGGTACACAAAAGACTGACAAGGCCTTATTTCCAGTGTTCCAGAGTTTCAAAGCCTGAGAGCAACAGCCACAGGCTAGGTGTCGATTGACTCAAATCCTAATCCTAGTTTCATCTCTAAAAAGGATCTCTTAAGCAAGTCATTTAACTCACCTCTCTATGAAATGAAAATAAATTCCATGCAACCTACCACCAGCTATTAATTCACTCATTGTTTCCAATATTTATGAGTTTTTTACATGATAGGCACTGTGGCAGTCTCTTGGTGGGAAACAAATCTGAAATGAATAAAATGTAAGCCAGGCTCATAACCTACTGTGAGGAGACAGAAAACTAACTGTGACACACAGTGATTCCAGCTTGAATGTCCTGAACAAAACACTATGGGAGGGCCGGCCCTGTGGCTTAGCGGTTAAGTGCGCACGCTCCGCTGCTGGCGGCCCGGGTTCGGATCCCCGGAGCGCAGTGACACACCGCTTCTCCGGCCATGCTGAGGCGTTTCCCACATACAGCAACTAGAAGGATGTGCAGCTATGACATACCACTATCCACTGGGGCTTTGGGGGGAAAATAAAAAAAAATAAAAATTGTTAAAAAACAAAAAACACACTATGGGAGCCCAAAGGAGGCACTTGGAAGTCCTACCCAGAGGCACCAAGAGCCAGACTTAAGAAATGTATATACTTTATAAATTACAGTGTCACATTACATTAAGAGCACAGGAAGCAGAGGGTGATCCAGCGATTATGTCTGGCCACCTAGGTTCTGACACTAAATCCAGATATGAAGAAGGAATCGAGAACACTATCCACGCCCCTGCCCCGTGGTGGCACTCCAGGGATCCACGGGGACAATCAGCAAATCCTTAAGCGAAGAATAACAATACATTGATGATGATAATAACAATAGCGCATGGACTCAAAGAGGCCACTTCATCCCTCCTCCTGGTTCCGAGGGGGCCGACAACTAAGTCTCCATAAGAAACCTCCGCGTCCGCCCGACGGGGAAAATCCCGTCCCACAGGCCTCGGGGCCGTGGGCTCGGCTCTTCTGCGCAGGGGCGAGCGCCAGACCGAGCGAGGAGCCCCGAAACCCCGACATTCCGGCTCCCCGCCTGCCTCCACCCCGAAGCCCCGGGAGCCCTCAGCCCGTCCCCTAGGCCCCAGGCCCCCGGCCCCCAGCCACCCACTGCCTCACCTGGTCCAGCTCCCCACGCAGTTTCCGGTTCCTTACCCCCCCCACCCGGGCGCGGAGGACAGTGGGAATCGTAGTCTACTTTGTTTAGGGAAGGGGATTGGCGTAGCCGAGGCCACTTCCGCCGGAAATGTTCTAATCCCCAGAAGGTGTGCTGAATGAGTACTAAGTGACGCTGGGGGTTGTAGTTTATTCTTTACTTCAGGGCTAAGTTGAGAGGTTTTGAGTGGTGAGAGGCCAGGCTCTGTAAGGACCTCGGCGATGCTGGGTTCTAGCCCTAAAGGGCATCACGCTTTCAAAATTTCATTCACACTTCCCAAAGGGAGTGCTAATCAGGGAGTTTCAGCCATCCCCAATCTCTCACCCACCTGAGGGTATTAATGGCTGGAAACCATTTCTAGCCCTCCTGCTGCCCCAGGTATAAGAAACTTCTTTGTAGCCCTCAAAGGGCTGTATATAGAACATCCACAGAGACTCTTCTGGCATCTCCTAACAGCTCTCTAGTAGTGGCTTTGAGACTCTTCCATCTCTCATTGCTGTCCAAGCCCTTGTCTCCATGGCTTTACCATTTGACTTCCCTCCCTTCTCTGCCTTGCTCTCTGCCCAGCCCTATAACCTCCCGTCCTTTCCAATCCTCCCCCTCAAATACTCTGCCCAGGAGGCTTCTCTGACCATCCTAATCCCATGGCTGCACCTAACAGTCCATTCCCTCCCACTTCCCCAACCCAACACCAATGTCCAAAGCTGTCCACTCCTAGTTTTGTTCTTGTCCTCTGTCTGGGTCTGTTTGTGTGTCCTGGCCATAAGATTTTTGTTAGACTGGAAACCCCCTAAGGCCAGTTACCTTCTAGATTTCTCCTACCCTCTGCACACCTCAGCACAGCCATGACTCAGATCAGAGAGAAGCAAGGTCTCCCTGCAGGTGGCAAGGAAGGAGACCAGTGAACCACAGAACAGGGAGATGTGAGAGAACAAGGATGCTACCCTCTTCCCAAGCCTCCCCTGCTCTCCCACCAACAAACAAAAACTTAATGGGGGCAGCAGGAGCTTCAGGGAACTGTGAGCAGTGACCTTCTGACACCAAAGGTGAGAAACTACCTCCACCCTTGCAAGACTTTGGAAACTGAATTAATCATCCACCTCACAAAGTCCATTATTTCTTGAGCTTTAATTTGTGCCAGATTTTCTCCCTCTCTCTATCTTTGCCTCTCTCTGCCTATGTGAATGCGTCTCTATCCCTGGTCTCTTGTGGAGCTTTCTCTCTGTATCTGTCTCTGTTTCCCTCCATGTACATCTATCTCCCTGTCTCTGCTTCTTCCTCTGGAATGACTGAAATAAGAGTATCTGTAGCTTCTAGAACAGACTCCCCCATCAGGCTCCTCCATCTCCATGGATCTATTCACTTGTGTGTCTCTGAACAAAAATTAGGGAAGAGGTAGAACCACACTGTGGTGTCATCTCATTGTTCAAGAATTCTAGGAGCCTCACCATCCCTTGGACCACCCTCCTGCCCACCCCATGCCTCTCTACTTGCTTGCCAAGCATTTCCAGTTTATCATGACGGCAGCCCCTCCACAGGCCAAGTCTGCTTCCAGCAAGACAGTAAGGAGTGAAATGACTGCCAGGCAAGCAGAGACCCACCCAGGACTCCCACCCCCAATTTCAACTTCCTGAAAGAGTTGCATAACTATTTCTGTCCCCTAAAGCCCATTCACCTCAGGGAGCCCAGAGTTAGGGAGTCCAGACATAGGGAGAAACTGAGTCTTGGGCAACCCACAGTAAGTCACTATAGCCGACCCCAGAGGGGCCTGGGGCCTTCTCTGTCTCTGATCTGTGCTGCTCCTCCCCACCTGGGGAGTCCCTCTCAGGGAAGATGGAGGTGAGGAGCTCTCCTGAAGTGGGAATACTTAGAAACAGACACCCACAGACTTTCAAGAGATAGAGCCTGAGAGATGAAACTCTGGCTGAGTAGGGCCCTCCCACCCTGCCTCGTCCATGTCGTCATCTCCTCACCCTCTGGGAAGGCTCCAAGGGGCTGGCTGACTGATTTATGGATAGAGCTTGGGGGGCAGGAGCAGAAGCAGACCCAGGCTGTGGCCTGGACAGAGCCTAGGGAGTTGGGTCACTCCCTAGGAGCCGGCCAAGCCTGGGGCAGGGCCCTCTGCCACCCACTAGCCTGCTCCTGGGGCTGGAGCCAGGCAGGAAGGGGTTAACCTGCTGGCTTGTTTTCCTTTGGTTTCAGCAGGCTGCCGGGGCTGTATTGGGCCATGAGCGCCATCTATCGGCCTTTGGAGGTCCTAGCTCTGACTCCCAGCTTACTTGGGCTTCTAGGCAGATCTTTCAGCCCTCCCCCTGCCTCCATGCTCCCAGAGTAGGGAAGGGGAGTTGACTAGCTGCAGGGCTCCAGCACAGAAAATAGAAACTGGGGATGGAGAAGGTGAGGGCCACCTTTCCCCTCCCCAGGTACCAGGTGTCACCCTTGTCAGCTCCCACCACCTCTGCCCTAGGGAACCCCAAAGGGCTTCTGGTGTTAGACCTTCAGTGTAGCGTCTCCCCCAGCTCTATTCCCCTGGGCAGTCGCCCTCTCTCAGTCAGCCCAATGAACATTAACGGGGCATTGGAGAGGAGAGGCGACACAGCAGAGGCCTTCAGAGTGTGGGCTCTGGACCCAACTGCCTGGATTCGAACCTGAGGTCCACTCCTTACCAGTGGTGACCTCTGGGCAAGTTACATAACTTCTCTGTGCCTCAGTCAGCTCAGCTGTAAAGTGGGATAATCATGGAAATCCATGTCTTCTTTTGTGATAATTAAATGACTTAATTACATATGGTGCCCAGCACAGCATTGGTGCTCCGTAGAGGTTAGTTATTGTTAGGACCACGTGCCAGGGTGTCAGGCAGATACTAGTCTGAGGACCCAAGATCCAGGCCATAGAGCCATATCAGACGCCCAAGCACAGAGGACAAGTTTAGGAAACTCATCCCTGGAGATTTCCACAAAGGCAGTCACCCACATGGGCTAGGTTTGGGGCCAGGTTCAGGCTTGCAAGGAAAATACGTTTCAGGCCTCCAAGATCAGCAGGAGATGGGCTGAGGGGGTCAGAGAAAGAAAAAACTTGAGGTGAAGATATAGGAAGGAAAGGCATTAAGGAAGAGGCCTTAACAGGCCCCAGATTTAGGAAAGTGGAGAGGGGTCCCTGATGTGTGGGGTGAGCAAGGGCCACTGCGCACCATGGACCTGTCCTCTTTGGTACAGGCACAAAAGTCTCAAGGTTTGATCAGGCTCCCCAGGCCTCCAGAGACAGATCATATCAGAGCCCCATCCCAGCTCTGTGGGGACTTAACCCTCAATGTCTTCCTCCAGCCTGGTGGAGAGGGGACACACAAATGGAGAAGGCCATCTGCAGGTCCTTCAGGTCCCACTCCCACCTCCCTCCAGAACTGGAGAACCACGGGAGCCAGCCTGTGAATTCATCCATTTGTTTCCTAACAGGTTCAGCCATCTCTTTGCCTCTATGTCTTCTGTATCTCTGCCTTCATCTACCTTCCTGGGCAATGGGTACACAGGATTCTTCTCCAAGGGGTGAGAGTGAGGGGCAGACTGACACCCTGTCAGTTAAGACAGAAATGCAGAGCCAGTGGGGTCCCTGGTCCAGCCTCCCCACCCCACCACACCCACCTCAGCCCCCAGGCAGCAGAGACCAGCTTTATGGATTGATGGCCACTTAACTGGAGGCAGGTGACTGCTTCCAAGTCTCTCCAACTCAGGTGTTCTCCCTCTCCTGGGGCCTGGACGCCTGGGTCCCCAGGAGAGGAGCAGGGACAGGCTGCACGGGCTGATTTGCATCGCTTACTTGGGAAGCAATTATCGGAGGAGCTGTCAGCTCAGCGCAGCTCTCTCCTCGCTAATCGGATTGCAGCAGAGCCCGGGGCTGGGGGGGGGGGGCTGAGTAATTTGGCTTGATGCAGTGGTGGGAGATGTCGGGCCAGGAGGCCGGACAATCTGTCTGAGTGGTGTTAGAGTTGTCCAGAGCAATTATCCTGAGGGGACCACACAGACATCAGACAGACAGCCAGCCAAGGGGACTGGACTGCTCCCCAAGTCCTGCCGCAGGAGGAAGGAGGTTACACTTCTGTCAGACTGGGAGGAGCATCTCCCACCGGTTGAACTGAATTAAGCAACTGAGGAGTCAAGATGAGTCTGGAAGAGGGGACAAGTAGCCAAGTAAGAAGGGGACCCAAGAATCCCAGCTTCCAGCTCACCCACCCCCCAGGCCCCACCCTGCCCTGCATTCCCAGTGAACCAGCGAGCAGGGACCTGACTGAGGGCGAGTCTTCCCAGCCCTGCTCCTCCCCTGCAGTGCTCCCAGACCACACTTTCCCTGCCCGTCTCTGGCTCTGTCACTTGCCTTCCTTTGTCCTTGCAGCCCTCTTGAAACTGTCCCCTCCTTCCCACCCACACTGGCCCTCTCTCTCTCTCCCCAAGTTGGCAGAGTACTGCTGACCCCTCTCCCTGCCCCGTCCTCCATCCCACACCGCTCAGGATAGTGATACGGATGATAATGCAATAACTAACCTTTCCTGAGCACTCCTCCGACACGAGCCACCAGCCTAAGGACTTGGTGTGGATGGTCCCATCTGATCCTCACACTGACACTGTGGGGGACATACCCTGTATCCCCATTTACTGATGAGGACACTGCTGCTGACCAAACTTCCTGAAGGGGGGACCACATCTGATCTTTGCATCCTGAGCTACCTGGCAGCCCTAGAGCGTGGCTGGTGTACAAAAATGTCTGTTCACTGCATCAATGACCAAATGAATGATTTACCCTATTCTCTCCTGCTGGCCGGCCTCCAGGTAATGTGCACATCCCTGCCGCGGCCTCCCAGCCCTCTCGTATCCTGACCCCCGCTTACCATCCCAGCTTGGCCTTCCTCAAACCCCTCCACACACTCAATGCTCCAACACATTGGAAAGCTTAACTCACCCTCCTCTCCTGCCTTTGCACATGGCCCATCTTGTCCCCTTCGCCTGGAACGTTCTTCCCTCCCATCTCTGCCACTGAACACATTCTACCCACTCCCCAAGGCCCACGTCAAATGCCACCTCCCCTTGGAAGCACTCCCTGATCCTCCCTGTGCTTGTACCTCCCTAGTGCCCCTTGTCCCCAGCTGCTCAGAGTGTTGCTTATGGCTAAAATGCCTTAGGGCCCCTGCTAGACTGTGGGTTTTGAGAAGTCAACACTATAGTCCTCTCTCTCCTGAGCACAGGCCCTCTGCCTTGTATCTATTAGGTGCTCAATAAATACCTGTTGAAAACAGGAGCGTCTGCTCTCTATTTTTGTTTACCTCATTCAGAAAAGCTTGCATGGTGGGTTGAAAGGAACACTGCACTCTCAAGGAAACTTGGAGTGGGGGTCTGCCACTTACCCGCAGTGTGACCTTAGGAAGATCATTACCTCTCTGGACCTTGGCCTGATCATCTCATCCTTCATCTAGAAGACAGGATGACAGGGCCTACCTCACAGGACATGGGACGCATCCTCGTCTTATCTGCTCAGGGTCTGTCCCCGAAGCTGTGGCGATCTGTCTGTCTCTCTCCGTCTCTCTGCCTTGCTGCGGAGCCCCTGCCTCTCCTACCCTTGTCAATTCAGGCACTAGCTCAGGAGTCCTGCCACTCAGCTCCCTCACTGTCACTCAGGCATGTCAATTTTCCCGAAGCTACCATTCCCGGGAGGGGGGTGGCCTTGCCCTTTCCCTGGGAGCCCAGAGGACCAGCCCCACCTTGGCTCCCTCACCCCCTTAACAAATGAGTTCTTCCTCTGAAAATACTAATAATAAAGAAACAATGCACTGGGCATGCAACTGGATGCAAATTGGCCCCAGTTCTCAGTCCAAGAAAGAGAATGCCTGAGCTGTGGACCCAGAGAAATCCTGTGTCCGTTTGCATGTCATTTGCATTATATTTACATGCGATCAATTTCACGTTCAAAGGCCCAATCCTCGCTCCCCAGTTTTTCTCCCCCAGGGTCCCCCCAGCGGCTGCTCCTCTTCCCCTAGCCCCCGCCACAACCCTCCTCATCCTTGCCCTTCTTCCTGCCAGGGTCCCCAGCCCGCCCCCTACTTCGTCCCCTACTGGCAAGGACCCACTTGCCCAACACCCAGAACGGATTCCTGGGGTCTTACCCCTTAATTCAGGAGGGGCATCCCCTCCCGCCCCCTCCCGCCCTGAGCCCAGCGGCCGCAGCAGACAGCCAGCGCGCCTCTCAGCAAATCCCAGCCCCATTCAGCGTGGTGATTAATGGCGCTGCCCTCCCCATGAACCTGCCTTTAATACTGAGGAAGTTATGAAACCGCTATACATCAGCAGCTCCGGCCCGCGGCCCCCGCCCGCCTCCTCCTCTCCTCCACCCCCCACCCTCCAGCTCCCTCTTCAAAATCTCATTTGGGCTCCCGCCGCCTAGGCCCACCCCTCCTCTGGCCTTTGCTTCGGGGAGGGGGTGTCTGCCCCTGCTGCCGGCCCGGTGAGGACCCACATCTCATTTTCCCTGCCTCTCTCCCCCCTGCTCCGCCCCCTCTCCCTCCCCGCCCCCCACGGCCGCATCTCCGGACCCATTTAGAACTGCTGACATTTTATCTGCGTTACATACATCACTCCGTCCCCAGCAGCCATCTCTCATGGATTGTCGGGGGGCGGGGGGGGGTGGTCCTGAGCTCGGGAAGATGGTGGGGAAACAGGAGGTGGAGGTGGGGAGATAGAGAGCGCTTCCTCCGCACCCCTTTCCCCTCGGGCTCTCTCCTCAGCCACCCGGGAGGTTGTGCAGGTGGGCCCCTAGGGTAGGTGATGGCAGGGGTTGGTATTCTAGCCTCCTCACGCAAGTCCCTGCTACCTCACAACATCAAAAGACCTTTTCTTAGACTGCTCTGACTAGGGAAGGTCATGTTGCCCATCTCCCTCCCCTTTCCATGGGGCTCCTCCACAGGAGATTGTGGAGGTGGTTGTTTAATCTCTTTTAGCTGCCGTGTTCTAATATTTCCTACACCGCCCTTTGGGGAAGTCCCTCTGAATGTCTAACCACTGTGCCTCATGCTGCAGTCATTATTTTCTCCTTGCTTTGTCCCTAGAAGAATGAAAAGCAGTATTGCCTCTCAAATGAAGTAAACCTTTTGTTCCAATGCCTGAGCAATCATAAATACAGTCACCCACCCACACTCCCGAGTCTTATAAACATGATAGGAGGCAGAGGGTGGGGCCACCCTAGAAAGGGGGAAATTG